TCACTCATGATGAATAGTATCATGTGGCCATCCACTCTTTGAACACTAAATATATCATTTAAAAATGAAAAAAAAAATCATTAATATTTGAAGGACTCAAAATAAATATCCATAATTTTGCAATAAATAATGATGATTTTATACTTGTCTTGATTTTAATATTATTTATCATTATGGTCTAGGTAAATCTTTTTTTATGTGATTGTTCTCTTTCCTATTATGGATGCATATTATTTTCCTTCAAAATAATTTTGCGTATATATTTTTTATTGAGATACATACATATATATATATATATATATATATATATATATATATAGTTGTGAGTGTTATATATATATATATATATATATATATATATATAGTTTTGAGTGTTATTATAATAATATACTTGGTCATATTGGTAAAAATAAGATAATTAGTATAATGGAAATTTTATTATAATGACCTTTCTGAGTATGAATAATGAGGATAGCATTTTAGTTTTAAATTCTTCTCATCTAGACACTCGGTTTAATTATAAATTTGTTAAAATAGATTTATGTGGATCTTGAACTATTTAATAATTTTCTCTCAAAATGTGTTAAGATTTGTGTTTGATGATAAAAATTTGGTTGATGACACATCATCTTGATTTTAAAATGTGTCATATTATCTTATGATGTCATGTAAATATAGTTAACGGCACATTCATTTAAAATTAAATTTAATTGAGAAAAAAAATAGTTTTATTTTGAAATTTTATAAATGATTTGCATCTAGTAGCTTTAGATCTTAGCAACGGATGTGTGATGTAATTAATCTTGTTATCGTTAGGCAGGTGTTCGTTGTTAGTTTTGAACTTTTATTAAATTTCCAATAATTTATTCATAAAATTAGATATAAATTTTCCCAAAAATAAGATGCATTAGGGTGCCTATATTTTTTTTTTAAATAATATCAAAATATCATAATATAAAGATATATATATATATATATATAAGAGAATTTAGAATGGGCTTAATCTTCAATTTTTATTAGATTAGTAAAGAAACAATTTCAAAATAAATTTAAATGATTTTCAATCTTAATCTCACAAAGTGGGGTCGGCTTCTGATATGCCACTAACAAATGCTCATCATTTAGCACGGATCTCGAGGTATTAATTGCACTCAAAACACTAGAAATAGAACCTCACCCCTCACATGAGAAGGGGAGGCTTAAAAGAGAACTTGAGGCTTTGAGAAAGAGCTCATGTCCAAGATCGTCCTCGCCATGGTCGATCGTTGTCGACCATCACTGACCGTCGAAACCCACCGCCGACCTCTGTTGACCATCGTCGGCAACCGTTGATCGCCGTCGATCACCGTTGACCTCTGTCGACCACCGCCGACCGTCATCGACTGTCGTTAGTCACCGCTGACCTCCATCGACCACCGCTGAACGTCATCAATTGTCGTCGACTACCGTCGATCACTGCCGACCTCCGCCGAGCATCCTCGACCACAGTCGATCGCCGTCCGTCGTTAACCACTGTCGACCTCCATCGACCACAACTCACTGTAGTCGACCACCGTCGACTTCCGTTAACTCCCGTCATCTATTGTCGACCAACGACCGTCGGCAACCACCGCTGAACTCCGTCGACCACCACCCACAATCATCGATTGTCGTTGACTATCGTCGATCACCACCGACCTCTGTCGATCACTGCTAACTAGACGTCGTTAACCGACGTTGTACATTGGAAAATTTAGTAACAATTTCCCGTCTGTGGGACAGGGAGTCTCTGTAATCGTTAACTTATAGTGAATTTTTATAACCGTGTGAAGCCCCGTGGTTTTTTCCCTTTACGGGTTTTCCACTTAGACACTGTGATTTTTTCCCTTTACGAGTTTTCATTGTAAAAAATTCTGGTGTTATCACAGCTTGATTCATTTTCATCTGAGTGTGTGTTGAATCTTCACGTAATGCTAAGACGATAATCCATTACTCTACCGCTGCAAATTTTCTAGTATGCATCAGCTTCTCTCCATTGCGTCCTATAAAGTTACAACTATAGCTACTACTACTAATAAATTTACATTCAAAGAGTTTGGTTTTAAGTCTATTAAAACAAACGACTTTGGACTCTAATGTAAACATCGAAAAGCATACACCAAGAATTTACACCAAGAATTTACAAACGTACCACATAATTCCTATGTATTTATATGTCTAACAACTAAACTTCAACTTTTTGCATACCTGCCACCATATCTATGCATGAAAGTTTCACTTTTTTCACGTTACAATGATTATATTGCGAATGTGATATAAAAGACATAAATGTCAAAAAGTAAGCCTTAGATGCTAGATATGCTAGGAATTGGGTGGTGCGTATGTAAATACTCCCAAAAGAAGTGGCAAAAAATTAATAAATTTTAATATGTTAAATAAAATATAAATAATGCGTGCTTGAAAATTTACGACAATAGAGTAATATATTATCGTTTTAGTGTGGTACGGAGAATCAACACATACTCAGAAGATAAAAAACAATTAGTACTGATACCAAAAATTTTTACGTGGAAAACCTGCAAAGAGGAGAAATCACAAGATTTGACCCAGTGGAAGAGTTCTACTATAAGATGATGATTACAGTCGCAATCACTTGTCTCACGGGCAGGAAAGAGTCATAATGTTTCATAAGTTACATAATCGGCACGTGGATAAATTTGTTGTAAAAAATAGACGACCATCGATAGCGATCGGCAACGGCCGGCAGCTGGTGGTTGACGACATTTTGCAATAGTGGACGTCGACAAGAGTGGTGCTAGACTTCAGCTACTTCCCAAAGTTTTACGTTCTTTCTCCTACCTTAAGCTCTCTCTTTCTCCCCCATTCTCATGAGAGAGACGGAGTTTTATTTATAGAGTTATTGCTGCAATTAATGTTGAATATGAACTACTTTGATCGGATGGTCCGAATATCTTTCTTTAATCATACATTGTTTGATAGACATTTGAGTACCTTAACGATATTGAAATTGAGTGATTTTGGGCTCCTTGAATTCCTCATGTGAGGACACTCGAATCGATTAAGAACTCTCCATCAGTTTGCCTTCCAAATATGACTTCCAAACTTTCAAATATGATTTAATGTTTTGATCGGGGCTTGGTTTGACTTGGATTGGACCAATCTTGGTAGCATTTGGTCCCCCTTGTCAAGTCGATCAGTTGGCTTTTTGTTAAAATCATGTTTCAGTATTTCATACTCAAAAAGTCAAGTTGAGATACGTGCTATCTCGAGATTCTTGTCGGATAATGAAAATTTATCGAAATCTTATTAATAAATATGTAAAATAAATTTTTAAACAAAGTCTTAAAAAAGAATATTATTTTTCAAAAGAGAATCATAGCACATAGAAAAACTAAAACCTAGGACATTCCAATTAAAAAAAAACTCTATGAAATGATTGAAGCCTCCTTAACCAACCCACGTTGACCAAACTATGCTTGAGGTCAAATTCAATCAAAATGTTTTGAGCCGTTGGATCCACGTGATAATTTAGAGGGAGCGCATCACCAACCATTGGTTAGGTGAACATTCTGTCAATACTTGTTTGAAAATATGAGACAGGTATTGATTAAATTTTCAAACTAGATTTTATTTATAGCCTATCGACAATATAAAATTTGACTTTAAGAATATAGTTTGATTGAGACACAAAATTTTTCATAATGTGATGTTTACATTTTTATAATTTAAGAGGATTTTATGTTCTTATTAGCTCTACAATTTTAGGCATCTATAGGAGATCAAAATATATATTATGAAAAATTTAATTTGATATCATGGCACACGAAATATTGGATGTAGCGGACGACCGTATTTAGCGCCTCCAAATTTAGCGTTCGGCGAATATAAGCGAAATCGAGACGGTTATTCTGTTTAAAATAGGGCTACCAAACCCCCCCTTAATTCAACAAATCCAGATTAATCAAATCCGGATGCTTTTAATATCATAATTGTGTTTGGATCTAAATTCAGAATTTTATAAATCTGGTTCATCCTTGCAAGAAGATGTTTGGTATGATTTAACATGTACCCACTTAAATTCATCACTTATGTTTGGCATTTTATAGGACTTAACATATATCCGCTGAAATGGGTTTATGATACGGCGATTTAAACTACTACACAATAAATATTGGATTTAGCGGACGACCGGATTTAGCGCCTCCAAAATTAGTATTTGGCGTATTTATCTTACATTGAGACAAAAATACTGTTACAACCATAGCTACCAAACACGCCCTTGATAGTAAATTTGGTAAATCTAGATTAATCAAATACAGGAGTTGTTTTTGGTACTGTTATGATTAAGATTCACGTAAATTTGGTAGACATGTTTAGTGGTGAAGGAGGCGACGACGAAACCAACGAGATAAGGCGCTCATTAAATTCTTCGATTCAACCTCTCAGCCAGATTTATTAAATCCAGATTGTAGTCGAAATGGGATTTAGTTCCCCTATTTTTTGTGTTTGTCTGGAATTATGTTAATTCCATGCAAGTTTAGACTTAATTTCTATTATTTTATTAAAAAAATAATATATATACGAGCATGGATTAATATTTTTTTATATAATTTTAATTGGAGAAAAATATTTAATTTCAATTTGGCTCCTATTTGATTTATAGCTAATTTAAGGCCATGAATGATAATAAGAATATTTACATAAATACATATATTCAAATACTTCTAAAAAAATTCTAAAACTCAAAAAAAAAATTATCTAAAATGTATTGAAGCATTTGCATATTTGATAAAGCCAGTTAAAATTGATCAAGATTTTGAAGTGTGTTATGTAAGTACATAAGAATTGTGGGCGATATATGTAAATTTCCCACTAGAAAAGATGAACCCCAAGTAGCAATAACCTATATGTGAATGAATTATATGGTATGAAATGTAATAAATGTAATAATAATCCAACGGTAACTTCACCATTTTCTTAAATTGAATAAATTATCATCAAAATGCTGATATGAAACCAGTGGGGCCCACCAAAAAAAAAAGATTTACACGAATTCAAACGTCAAACCTCAGAGACCAAATAACAAAAAAAGAAAGAACATAAAAAAAAGTGGGAGGAGTGCTATCAATAACCTCTAAAACATCTCAGGCAGCTCTCTGTTCGATAGCACCGCCACCACCACCGCCGGCGGCCGCCGCGAACGGTAATTCCGCCGGAATCTGCCTTCTAACAAATCCCGCCGTGCACGTCATCTTATGCGACATTTTCCAGTCGATCGACTGACAAGCTCGCGAGCAGTAGTTCACCGTCCCACACAGAGAGCATCGCCGGAACTCATACATTCGAGTCTCCGGCCTCCCACATCCTTTGTTAGAACAAAGCCGTAGATCCTCCTTCTCCAACATCCCCATTCTCTCCGAGAACCAGTCCGCCATGAAAGCATTCGCTGGATGCATCTCATCCATCGCGTTAATCTTGCCGGCGATCTCGTTATATGTAACATGAATCAGACATCTTCTACCCTGAAGAATGTTCTGAGGAACTCCGTATCCATCTTGAAGACAATGGCCGAATTCCCTTAGGGCATCGAAATGGCCGAGAGAGGCTGCGCGAACGCAGAACGCTACGCCGGCTTGTAGATCTTTGTGCCGCTTAGAACCCCCGCTTCCATTGAACTGGATGATCGCCAGAGAGTAGAGCGCCTGCGCATGCATTCCGATCGCCGCTTTCGCTAACAGAGATATTCCGTTCAGTCGGTAACCTAAGCAGTAGAATCGGATCTGTAGATTTAGGGCAAGATGAAAATGATTAGTTATTAGTTTTTCAAAATCTATCAATTGAGAAATCGGGGGTATTTCCTCTATTTAATTACCATTCCGAGAATATAGCAGGCATTCAGATTGCCGGCTCTGGAGCAGTAACAGAGGAGTCGATGAGCGGAATCCGACCAGTTCTTCGCCTTCACCGCAAGCATTTTCAGAGAGGCTTGTGAGAGAACTAGCTTGGTGAAACACAAATGGCGGAATCTCTTGCATCTGGTAGGAAATCGAACAGATAGGATGGTTAGCACAAGATCGATCTGCTAAAAATGGAATCGATTTGGTGAGTGAGGGGGAAGAACCTACGATGCGGTTGCGTTGATGAAATCCGAGGGACATGTGGCGGTGGAGCTCAGTCTGGAGAGGATGGTTAGCACAAGATCGTCGGGGATCCAGTCGAAAAAATCGCCGGCGGGTTCATTTTCGGCGGTTGAACTGACCGGGGAAGAGTTCCGGCGGCGCTTATACACGACTGTCTTGGCATCAGATTGTAATAAAGCTGGCATTTTTCGCCGGAGATAGGTCCTTCGTTCCATAATTCTTGCTGCTAGCTTTCAGCTTTCTCTCTCTACCGGTTTTCAGAAGAGAGAGAGAGAGAGAGAGAGCAGGGTGAAGGGGGCATATATATAGGAGGAAGACGGTGAATTCTAATTTTCCGATTATACCCTCAGAGTGCCGTAAATCATTTTTAGATTTTACTAAATACAAATAAATAATTTTTTTTTATTTTTTGAAAAAAAAGTGCATTTACATACAGGCCATCCAATTTTTATATATTTACATATGTTACACTTGAGTTTGATTTCTTACATATCTGACTTCCGAATCACTTACATCACATTAAAATACTAATATTATAACTTTTTAAGAGGACTGCGCATTTTTAATGCCTAAATAAGATAATATATATGTAAAACTTGAAATTTAAATATTTTCTATGTAATTAAAAAGATTTCAGTGGTAATATTGTAAATCTTCATCAAGAAAAGGTAATGATCAAATTTATCTTGAGAGACTGACTATCAATTTTTGTATTAACTAATGTTTATAATAAATTTGATGATTAATATTTTTTATAATAATTTTTTTTTATCTTAAGATTTTTTAGTCCAATATCTGGATCAAGGCAGCCTAAACTAACTTTATCTTTGACAGTACTTTAAATTGGAAGTTGCTTTTACACAAAAAGTACTCAAAATATCACTTATTACCACATTTTAACAGACAAATTCAACTTTTAATACATATATAAAGTATTATGTGAGTAAAAATAAAAGTTTAGATGTGAGATAAGTTTTTTTTTTTTTTTTAAGAATCCCGTAAGAAATTTTATTTTAATAAAGAAAATGTTACACGGTTTGTGACTGATAGTCTCACGAAAAAATTTTTCATGTGAGATAAATAAATTTATAAGAGTTGAGTACTATTTATGTAATTTTCTCAAAAATAAATAATTAGCTTTCTAATAATAAGCAAGAAATTGTTAATTAAATAATTTTTTTTATGTGATAATTATGCTAGTTGTTATATTACATGCTTTTAATATATATTTTTAAGATGTTGTAGTAGTATTTGTAATTAATATTTATATATATTTAAGTAATAAATTATTAATAATATAAATAATAAAATAAAACAACTCTAGGATAAAACTCATATGGCCAGGTCCTATCGCGATAAAAAGGGTTGCTTTAAAACTAATTTCAAGTTCTCTTGAATTTTCGGCTATTTTTGAGGGGACTGAGCGTGAAGAGACAGGGCATAAAAAAACAAAAAAAAAAAATATATATTAATAAAAGCTATTAATTTGGGGAAATTTCGCTGACAATGTCACGTTTCTATTTAATTACATATCTGACCCCTGAATTTTGATATTTTTATTTATAACACGTTACTATTAAAATTTATACATGAAAAAATATATTTAACTTCTAAAATGTTAGTGATTTGATATTTTTTTGTGACATAAAAATTTGAGTGTATATGTCTCACG